TGTTGTGATGTTGAATTCTGTCGGAAAATGAAAATGGATGCACCACATACAGTATCCAAGTATAGTTGTTATACTTAATTTCCTCAAGCTGTACTGTTATTCTGTGGATGTTGGTCAACTTTTTCTCTTGAAAATACGCTCTTTAAATGGGTTTCTACTCATCACGTAATGTGTGTGCAGTGTTTGGGCTGTTTAGTTGTGGATGTGAGATTGAATCCATGATTTGGTATGTTATTCTGCTTTGCCCATGTTAGGAAAAAAGATGGAAAGCTTAGTTTATATGATTTGCAGACTGGACATAAGTATTGGTAAGTCAACGAAGAACAATTGTAGAATGATGCATTGCTATAGGTGTAGGTGTGATTTAGAATAATTTGGCTTTCATTGTAAGGATAAACAAATGCAATTTCAATGTTCTGTAAAATATTTGTCATATGTACAGTATTGAGTAGAAAAGATGTTCTATAGTGTATGGCTCAAATTTTTGCTTACCATAGTTACAGCACATATATATACTAATATGTATTTTTTTCCAAAAAAGAAATCATGTTGCTTGTTACCCATATATATAATATAATGTATCTAAGTGTTCTTTATTTGTGTGTGTCTATATATATATGTGTGTGTGTGTGTGTGTAAATGTGTATAATTTATTTACTCATACTTTTCTTATCCATCTATCTGAATATCTGCCTGTTGATCAGCACATATATGTCTGTCTAATCATTGCTTATTTCAGCTTCATGAATGTGGATATTGAGGTTCAGATTAAATAAGATTTTACAGTTCTTACCACAGAACCTTCATGTATAAAGCTTAGAAATGAAATAGATCAAGAAAAAGAATTTTGACGACCAATTTCTCCCGCAGTGAACAGTGAGGCAAATACACGGCGTATTGCCATGGTGGAGTCCTGTTTTGGGACTTCTGGGCAGCCGTTAAATGTACCTGGCCGTGTGTTGGTAGGGGAGGGCGTTCTAACAAAGATGTGCAGAAAGAAGCCCAAACCAAGGCAGTTTTTCCTCTTCAATGACATCCTGGTATACGGAAATATTGTGCTCAATAAAAAGAAGGTAAGTGTATGCTTGACTTAAACATTTATTGAATGTGGATTGTCTTTATATTGATTCCAAGGCTCTGCCCCCAAGGTTGGCACGTACAGGCATACCATATCCAGAGAGAATTTAGTTTATCAATTGTATTTACAGATAGATGGCTCCACAAGTGCTTAGTCACCAATGAGTCAATCACTAGTCCAATCTACCTCACCTGTCAACCTATTTCCTTGATTTTTGGAAATATTTATTTTGTTCTCCATTGCTATCAGTATTGTTTATAACACTGTGATAATTATGATGTCAGTAATGATTGTAATAACAGCATCGATATTAATAACATTAAAAAATAAAAAATGTTCCTGGGAACTCAAGGAAGCGGAAAATCGAGTGATAGGACATAGGCTACTAATCGATTCCTTGGTGGCTGAGCACTTGTGGAGCCATCTGTGTGTAGATACATTTCACAGTACAATACAATGAACATCACATTTTCTTGACGGTATTGGGTTAATTACCTGATTTTAAGTAGTACAGTTTTCTTCAAAGGCAAGTATATCGTTTGATAATGTGTCGCTAGAATATACTTAAGAAGACGTTTAAGTTAATGATAATGAAAGGAATAAACAAATAAGCATTTCTATAATTTTAAGCCTATTTACACTAGTCTCCCTTTAATAATTCTTAGTAATGACCTATAACAGTCCCTTTAATATCAAAATGAAATTCAGAAAAATACTTTCCTCATTTTGTAAATTAGTTATTTATTGATTTCAGTACAACAAGCAGCACATCATCCCTCTAGAAGAAGTTCAGCTCTCGTCAATAGAAGACGATGGACGTAAGTAGATTTTTTCTTGTTTTTAATATTTCTCCTGCTAAGTATTTTTTGATATAATTAGAAAATAGGAAATGTTCTGAAAATAGTTTTTGTGGTTTACAGTAATTTCATGTATTTGCATAGTGAAAACCAGTAGAGAAATTTATCAATAACAAGATTTTTTTAAAACATCAGAAATTGCAACGGATAGACAGAACATTTTAATAGAATAGCTTTTTCACACTTTCGTTCACATTATTAAATGTTTTTATTCCCTCAGTTCATCTGCTTCAAAAGTTTCTTTCCAACCATTATATCTCAATTTTCCTCTTTTTTTTATTCCCCTTGATAACAGAGTTCCGTAATGGCTGGTTGATCAAGACCCCAACAAAATCCTTCGCTGTGTATGCCGCAACAGCAACAGAGAAGGGAGAATGGATGGCACACATTAATAAGTGTGTCACAGACTTGCTACGTAAAAGTTAGTGGCTCGCACATTCTTCTGGTTCTGTGTTCTTGTTCATCAATTCCTTAGGTGTTCCACATTCCTTTGTGGGTGTGAAAATTGTAAATTTTGCATTGTTATGTGATTCAATAATTTGCCTAGTTTTAGTTTACATGCATCCAACCAGTATAGTTATGTCTTCCATATATGTATTATATTTTTATTTATTTTTATATATATATAAATAAATATATATTTATTTATATATATATATATATATATATATATATATATATATATATATATATATATATATATATATATATATATATATGTATGTATATACATAAACATATACACACATACTTGTTTTTCTTTCTAATTTTATAGAGATTGTAATTTAGTTTATCTTTGTTCTCTTTTATTCAACGTATACATAATTCTTTTTTGGCCTTTCACCTTCTTTCATGATATTTCTATAATAATTTTCCCCATAAAAACAAACAAACAAGAAAAGTGGTAATCTTGCAGTGGAAGATGAGAAATCCAGGATGTAATTTTCCTTTTTTTTATTGTTAATGTAAAAGTATGTATTTATACCTACATACTTTGATTTCCTTATAACTGCTTGATACACAAGCAATATTATTATTATTTATTTACTCTTTTTAGCTAAAGTGCAAAGATATTTGGGAAATGTGTGGATATTTGTATAAATAACAGTACTTAAGAATTTTATGAATTATGTCTTTTACTATGTACATGTACAGTAAATAAACAGTAAGTATCACAGAAAAGACAAAAATATTTTGATAAAACTAATATAATCTAGTTTTATTATATTAGTTTAGTATGCAGTACTAATGTCATCAACATGCATTTAATTTAAATTTACATATTATTGTGTAAGTAATTCCTGAAAATGAAATTATTGTTTATTGTCTTTAGCTGAAAATTCTGTAATGTCTAGAAAACATAGCCAACCTGCTCTGAAAAAAATGATAATAGGCTTCTCTTTTATAATTTTGGAAATCTGTTCCTCTAACTTGATACATTTTATTCTAAAAATCACTGGAGAAACCTATTACTTTCTCTTTCTCTCTCTATTACCTTTTTTTGATATATGTTGCATTTCCCCGTTCCACCTTCCCTTTTAATCAGAAACATTTTTTATCATTTCTTGCGAATGATTTGAAGTCGTAAAATATTCCAGTAGTTGGCATGTTACCCAAAACAAATTCCCAAATGAAATAGAACACATAGACAAGGGGGGGAGAAGGGAAGGACCCAAACCCCTGTTTCATGTAGCAATGTGTAATGTGCAGGTGGCAAGAAGGCAGCAGAGAAACATGCTGCTGTGTGGGTCCCAGATGGTGAGACGCAGGTGTGCATGCACTGCAAGAAGACCCAGTTCACTCTTATCAATAGAAGGGTAAGGGAATACTTGCTTGTGAGTGTTTAGTTGTCTGATGGCTGTTGCTCAGCGCTGATGTTTAGATTTGTTATTTCATTTTGTTATTCATCCCTTTTATCCCCAGCTTTTTTCCTGATTTGTTGAATATGGTAGATAGCCTTTCAGTGCACGCAAGATCCTTTCTAGGTTTATTTATGTGATTTTTACCATGTTGAAAATTTAGGTGAAGTGTGTGTCTGAACAACTTATGTCTTATGATGAAAGTCATTTAATGAATAAGATTTTGCAGGGTTAATGGTGATTTTTTCTTACTTTTTCTCTTTCTTTCATTATTTATTTTATTATTTTGACAATAGCTACCAGCACCACATCAGGAAGCTCAGTTATAATTAGACTAAAATGTCTGTGTGTACTTAAAGTAGTATTATGATCTAAACAGCTGCTCTCTTGGAATTTATCTGATGTATTTGAACTAAACACGTCTTCTTTTCATTATACCTATCACAAGTTCATGATATTATTAGTTAGTAGTGGCAATAATGCTTCAAAGTTATTACTTGACATTGCTGCTTCTGCAGTGCTTTTTGCTACCTACTTTCCCTCTATTGAAGTTTGGTTATCCTGTCTTCATCTTCATTATCACTATGCTTTTTATTTTATTCTCTTTGTAGGTTTTACTTCAAATTTCTATTAAAGCTTATCCTTTTGTAGATGCTTTAGCTGTAGAATGTTACTTTCAAATGACTAATCATGATAGATATAAATTTCCTGCCTAGTAGCATTCTGGGAATCATTATTTCTTACAGCAATTTAATTTTCAATTAGTATACATCATTTCAGAAGATGCAGAATTTTTTTTTGATAGTATATATTTATTTGTTTTCTTAGTATTCCTTGTATACTAACAGGCAAGCAGTAGATTTCTAGGCCACTGAAAATTCAAGTTAATTTTTCTATAATCATCACTCTGTTAGTTTTTTTTTGGCAGTTCATCTTCTGCAAGGTTTATTCTTTTATTAGTAATATTTCATTTATACAGTACCTATTCATATTTATCATTTTGCCTTACAATGTACATTTTATTTTCCATGTTGATTTGATCTTTGCCTGTCCTTGTTCATGAATTGTAATTTTTGTTTTTTGTTAGGAGGTCTAGAGAAATTTCACATTCATTTGATTTTTTTTCTTTCTTTCTTTCTTTTCTTTTCTCTCTTTCCTTTTTCTTTTTCTTTTTTTTTTTAATTTCTAGGATGGCTTCTTATTTATCAATCTTTACAGCATCATTGTCGCAAGTGTGGAAAAGTAGTGTGTGGACCATGCTCTAGCAAGAAGGTTTTGTTGATTCATCAGTCCAACAAGCCCCTTCGTGTGTGTCTTACTTGCTATGACGAATTGTCATCGGCGCAGACAGAGACTGGAAATGAGACACCCATCAACTCAAGTAAGTATTTTTCTCTGGTATTCCTGGTTTGCTTTTTTGACGGAAAAGGTGTTTTTTGTGGAAGATGCATGCCTAGTTGTTCATCTATAACATTGTCAAACAGTTTCTTCTTTAAAATAATGGCTTGCTTTTTCAAGTGTATATCTGTTTTATACAATATAAGTTACTGGAATTAGAGATTTTATTTGTATTTTGCATGTTTATATTATGAATTTCTTTTTATGATTATCTGAGGGGAATTTCAAAATTTTATTTTCAGTGCATTTAATACTCTTTGCCTAATTGGGAGATACAAGCTGATAGTAGCTTTTATTTGAAATACTTTTGAACTCTTGTGTGTGTAGAAATATATGTGTAGCATTAGTTCAAGTTTTCTGCTTTTTCATTTTGACATATTTTAGGTACAAACCTGTAGTTTGATATTTTCTTTCAGTGGGTGCTATTTTTCTGATGCTTATTCCTTCATATCTTAGGCAATGCATGTCTTTCTTGCTTTTTGAGTTTACAGGTGGATCTTTGTCAGTGGACAGTGGTCCCTATGAATGCATCTAACTCTGTGGTTGATAAAGAGGTTTGTGTAATTGGCAGTGGCAGGTAGGATGATTGACATCACATTAGAGGGTGATGATATAGGAAAGGATAGTGATTCCAACGAGGACATAAGCATCGCACAGATGGATAATCCAAATGTGGAATCGGGTCCGGTTCCCCCCCCTCGACGTACCTCCAGAGCCCGAACTGGGGAGGACAAGGATAAACAGGAAGGAAACATCGGGGCTGATCTCGTTGACATTCCTTGCGACTTGTTTGGGGATCCAAACGACAAGCAAGACGACGATGCCCTTCCGCCTACCCTGTGGTGGGATGACATCGGTAGAGTCAATCACTTAAAGTTTCATCTTCTTTTGTGTCTTGTGATCACTGGCAGTATGTGGGACTCTTTTTGGATGACTTCAGTTCTGATTGGTTTGTGAAGTTTACAAAGTTAGTGATCAGATAGAATTAATGATGATAGAGATTTTTGTTTAATGTGATTTGAGTTTTTTGTGTTTTGATTTAATTCATGTGTTTAGGTTTAGATAGGCATATATTTCTATGTTTGCCATTTTCTAGAAATGCATATATGTTTTGAGGTAATAGTATGCTCTGAGATATTTTGCTCAAAAAATTCCCAAAGTGTCGATCTGTATATAAGTCTTTTGTGTACATATTAGATTTTTTCAATTATGACATTGTAAAATGTATTCAGTTTTAAAGTTCCTTCACTTTTACAACAATGCTGAAAATGTAGTGTTGTTCAGTAGGGGAATGCATTACGTTTTAGATGATGGTATTAAACAGTTAGTGTCATAGGTAAAGAATTAAAGATTTAAGAACATTTTTTCATTATTTTATTTTATACTATGATGAAAGGGAGAAAATTTCTGTCTTTGATTAATGTGATATTATTTTGTTTTGTTTTTCTTTCATTTTGATAATTTGTTATTTCTGCCTCCCAATGGAATAGTTTATGAACTTTGTCTCGTATTATGTTATTGTTGTTATTGTACTGTGGTTCTAATTGTATATAATGTAGGAATTCTTAATTATTGACTTTTTTCTTATTCTTACTAGACTTGCAAATATTGAATACCATAAGTGAGGAGAATTTTTTTTTTAAGATTTGAATTATAATGAATTGCCATTCTTGTTATATATATATATATATATATATATATATATATATATATATATATATATATATGTATGTACATAAATACATATACATATATACTTATCATTTATTGCAAAAAAAGTAATTAGGTCTTATAAGAGTAAATTATTAGACTAACTATTAAGTTTTAGAAATATCTGGAATGTCTGCAGAGTCTTGCATGGGTCATTTTCTCTCTTTCCAGTCTTCATGCTTCTTGGGCCTTTTAGGGGGAAAGGAATTGCATGCGTTATTTCCTTGCTTTTGCTTTTACAGATTTGAAGGAACCACTTTCTGACGGAGAGGGAGAGGAAGGTCAGTTCATCAGTATAATGCTTTCATTATTGTGGCCGATTCCCTTGGAGGAATTCTGTGAAAGTGATGATAGTTTTGTGTTGACAAATTTGTGCACTGTTTCCCTGGCTAGATGCTTTCTTTGTTATTGTTGTACAGTCTCTGTGTGTTTTGTTTTGGCAATGAATGTATGTCTTCCTTCTAGTGGTTTGTGTATATCTATATGTTATCAAGGTGCTTGTTAGTGAGTTGTTTTAGAATATGTATATATATATATATATATATATATATATATATATATATATATATATATATATATGCATACACACACACACACATATGTATTCATAACATATTCATGTTCAGAAGCTACTGTGCTGCTTAAAGTAATCTCCCTAGTTCAGTATTGATTCATGGAGTGTTTTAGAAAAAATGGTGGGAAGTGATTACTAATTTGAGGCTTATAATAAACAAAGAAGCACAGTGGGCATGGTATATATTTATGCCTTTGTGGCATCATGGGGTTAACACGTCAACACATTCACTCACTGTTATAGATATAATACTGGTGTATTGATACAAGCAAGCGAAATACTTGTCTGTGCTTAATTAGTCATGAATACTTTTGTCAAGAGATGCCTGGATCTTGTACAAATACTGTATTTCCCAAACAGCCTGTAATGTAAATACTAATCACTTTCATATATTTGTGTCTTAGTTGATATGATGAATAGTAGTTATGTTATAATATATATATATATATATATATATATATATATATATATATATATATATATATATATATATATATATATATATATATATATATGCATACACACACACACACATATGTATTCATAACATATTCATGTTCAGAAGCTACTGTGCTGCTTAAAGTAATCTCCCTAGTTCAGTATTGATTCATGGAGTGTTTTAGAAAAAATGGTGGGAAGTGATTACTAATTTGAGGCTTATAATAAACAAAGAAGCACAGTGGGCATGGTATATATTTATGCCTTTGTGGCATCATGGGGTTAACACGTCAACACATTCACTCACTGTTATAGATATAATACTGGTGTATTGATACAAGCAAGCGAAATACTTGTCTGTGCTTAATTAGTCATGAATACTTTTGTCAAGAGATGCCTGGATCTTGTACAAATACTGTATTTCCCAAACAGCCTGTAATGTAAATACTAATCACTTTCATATATTTGTGTCTTAGTTGATATGATGAATAGTAGTTATGTTATAATATATAATAGAAAAATTATGAAGAACAGTTAACCTTTGCAATTATTCCTTTATTTCTCTCTCTGTTTATTTATTTTTTATTTGTTTGTTTATTTATTTATTTTTACAGTTATTTGTTACATGGCTTAGAATCCTTTTTCTGTTTTCTGGGCTCCTTTGTCTTATTGACTTTTGTCATTATTATGAATTATCTCTGAATTATACATTATATATATTTTTATGTTTATTGTCAGCCAGAACTTTATGAAAATCTATAAAGATATTAAAGGAATAGTAATAGGGAATAGTAAAAAGAAAGTTAGAAAATGATACAAGAAAAGAGTATTTTGAAAGAACTGCTTACAATTGCTTTTCCTCTGCTGCTTTCAGATATGAAGTCATGAATTCTCCCCATCCCACGTAGATCAAAGGAATTTTGAATACATTTTCTCACAGAACTAACAGAAGGCATTATTGTTGCAGGTATGAAAGAGCGAAATGACTCTTCCGGAGACGATGACTCAGATGACGACACGGATGACCCTTCATTGCAGTCACCCCAGTCGCCAACAGAGGTACGTCACAGTTTATCATTCGTTACTTGAGGTCCTGAAAGGCTTTGGCATTGGGTATGGATGATAATACACCAATTAGGGGAAACTCTGCCCATGAGTGATGGAATGAGTGTAAGACTAAGTGTGGCTGAAGTTTATAGGGAAGCGAAAATAGTCATGACAGTTTTTTGGATGTATGTATGAAATATTTCATAAAGATTAGAAAAGGGATGAAGATCTATGAGAATGCTCATCAAAATAGTAAAGCCTCCAAAAAATAATGCGTGGAAGGGAGGCAGGGATCAGCAAACAGTTATTTACAGAATTCATCCATTCATCCATAGGCCTTATCTGCAATGCCAAATACTTGCAATTATGTCTAGTTTCGTGGGCGGGGCATTGGCGCTGTCAGGCATACGAAAACCCGTTGAATCAGAGTATTGTACCGATGGAACTAAATGGTAAATAAAGTTTCCTGTGGCACTACAATGTATTTACATGTGTAAGGAATAATATGATTATAATGCCAATTCAGATCTGAATGGCTTACACCGAATGGGACATTATATGCTAGAATTATGGGTTAAATATCCTAAAAAATCGTTATTGTTAGAATTGTTACAAACATAGTAGTAATGTTCACATATCATAATAACATAATGGTTAATGATACTACAGTAATAATAATAATGATAATATAGGATAATGTTAATGACAATTACAATGATAGTGATAATGATTATATTAGTATATTCAAAGGATCATTTGCTGCCTATCAAAATGTATACAAAATCATATGTATTGTTCTGGTGGGACTCTGTGCTCTGACAGTGTATTTGCCTGTCTTCCTTTAGACAAACTTCAAAAACACATATATTTATTATTCTCGTAAATTCTTCTTTCTTATAATAATATAATCATACAGTCTCTTCAGAGTTTAAAGATTAATGTAAGTCATGTAAAGAAATTCACTGGATTATCTATCTACCAATGATGTCATTTGTGTTACATATCATGATTTCATTTATATTACATTTTGAGCCTAAAAGTTAACATTCTTTTAATTACTGCTTAAATGGTCAAGTGTGAAGAGTTACAAATATGAATACAAGAAGTATTTGGCATTTTACCCAATCAGCAATGGGTTGTACACGCGTGTTGATAAGTGTATTAGATAGTTTAAACTTGAAATTACTCAAATGCAAGAAATTGCAGATGAGGATGCTGCAGATACGGTCTTATGTATGACATTTATAACTGTGGCATGAGTGAAGCATGTATGCTCACACATGAATGGATTTTGCTAGTTGTCAGAAAATTAAATGTTTCCTTTATAGAGATACAAGCAAGCCACTAGTAAGATTGTTTAAGGTGTGATATTTTTTTTTCCTCCTATTTTTTATTTTTTATTTTATATTAATTTTTTTTTCCAATTTCTTTTAAAGTAGCCACAGCTTTTTTTCACTCTTTTATATTAGCAAACCTTTAGTATTATCATGGAGCTTGAGGATTATGTTATGTAAAGCTTTCTTTCTCTCTCCTCTCTCACCATTCAGTAGGAATTTTCTTCTTTTTTGTAGCAGTAATGTTCAGTATCTTGGATGCCTGGTCTTTGATTTTATTTATTTAATTCTATTTATTGTTATTAATTCATGTTTTCTTTTCCTTTTCTTGTTTTAATTTTTTTCATAACTGATGTAGTTGTTGTTTCCTTGCAGGAAAAATTGCCCTGGTTGGCTTTCTCTTTTCCAATCTGTAACTCTTGATGCAGGCCAGTGCAGGTGAACTTGGTCTGGATATCATGATTACTGTCAGGGAATTGTTTATAGACTTTTTTTCAGTCTGATAGTTCTTGAGGAAAAACATAAGGATGGGGAATTTTCCAATACTAGTCAACTTGCCAGCATTGTCCAAGAAACCTTGGTATTTTTTAGTGATGCACAACCTTATCTTGTCAATTTTTTCTACAATCAAATGGTTCTTTTAGAAAATAATTTTGGTTGGTCTTCCTTCTTTTGTCTTTGCTGCATTCTTCAACCTCAGCTCAAAATTGTGTCACCAGACTGTTTTGACATGTGAGTTTTTTTTCGTACAAATTGCGGCCTTTGTGGAAATGAATTTGGCACTTTTTTTTATAATTTGTTGTTTACAGAGTTTGCATTAATCACTTTACGCAGCCTTTCTTGTAGAAGCCGTGAAAATTGTATGCCCTTTTGACTAGTGCATGTAGAGTTCTGATGTAGTTAAGGTTGTGCCTTTAACAGGTAACAACACAGGTAACAACACACTGATAAAATTGGACAGTGGGGCTGGGATTCACCATGGGTAGCAGAATTTTTTATCCCCTCCTCTCCTCCTTGCTCATTTTACATCTGTATCCACACTGAGAAGAGGGCTGATAGTCAAAATTTAGAAGCTATAAATGGATATGATATCACCTATGCTGTGGTGATGTGTTAACCCATGGGGAGGGTACATGTACTGTTGACTGTAGTTTTGTTGCGCAAGTGCTCAGTCATCAAAGGAGTCAGTAGGTAAGACCCAAATGACCTTGACTGATTTCCCCATTCCTTGAGTTTTGGGGAAAGAACTTTTCAAATGCTATTAGTATCATTACTGTTATTAATAATACTATTGACATTAGAATAATTATTGTATTATTGAAATGTTAATAGCAAGAAGAAATGAAAAAGATCTTTCCAAAGATAAAAAAAGATCAAGGAAAAGGATAAACAGGTGAGATAGGTAGGACTAGTAATTGTGTCCTTGGTGACTAAGCACAGTTGGTTAACCCAATGACGCCGGGTGTACAAAAGGAAAATAAAACTCTACGCTCTGGCAAACAAAGGCAGCGCGCCGACTTTGAGCGCAGGAGTACGGGGCGTCAGCCCGAATCACTGGCTCGCCGCGCTTTGGCGCGCCGCCGGCTGGTTTGGCCGCACGCCACCTTTCGAGCGATTTGTTTACACGCGTATCGCCGTCACCCGGCGGCAAGGGGTTAAGACTCAAACTAACCTTTTACTAGTCACAGAGTCAGAGACCCACTATAAGGTAGGAAAGATTCAATGTAGGCCTGAATTATTATAGCGAAGAAAATTATATTAGTTTGCAAGAAAGTCGGAGGCTCTTGAACTATAGGTAAATTATCTAATTATAATCATTTGAATGATAAATAGAATGACTTGGTATATCAATACACAAGAAAAGAAACTTGTATAATGGCAAAATTCAGTCATATCTAAACTGTGAAGGCTTATCTTTCAAGATTGTCATTGCATTCTTAACCTGTTATTGCTGGGTCACTTGTATAGCCATCATAACAAACTGTGTGATCTGCAGGGTACGGTATACACCATGCTAGGCATTGCCAAAAATCACCAAAGTCTTACACAAGCTCAGTTATTTGTGTATAGGGCCAGTTTGTGTAACTGCAAGTCCCATTTGAGGCCTGTGTTAATTCAGTTAGTGGAAGCCTAGTTTGAACAATTATGGGGAAGCATAACATGTTTATTCAATGCAGAGTGCCATTGTGATATAAACATCTGTGAGATGACAGATAGTATAGAATAACATACAGATATATCAAACTGTATCAGGCATCCCCTGGTTTATGGAAAGGTAAGAGTAAAAGTAATTAGATAAATAATTGAAGGTATGAGCATATGAACTAGATAGATAGATTGATTGAATGAATGATTGAAATACAGAATCGTCAGGGTCTTTTTTTAAATTCTTTTTGGGCTTTTGATCTCTGTAAGCTGCTGCAAGGGTTAGGGCAAGTATTGTATTATCAAGACCTTATCAGCATCCCTTCAAAGTGAGAGAATGACAGAGCTGAGCAAAGTGGAATTGAGTATTGTAAAGGCAACTATCTAGGCTTGCACAAACCAGTGTGTGCAGGTAGTTTGCGTAATTCAACTGAGCGTGTATGATGCCCTTTAGAGATGCATTTTGAAATTCAGTATTTAGATACAGAATATTAGGCTTTGTTCTTTATGGCTTTATGTCATAATCTTGGGCAAATGTAAAATCACTTGTAAATACTTTGTTGACTATCTAAGAGTAGCATTTCATACAGTTTTCGGTCATTTGGCATTCAAGGATCCCAGCCCCAGAAAGTAGTACATAAGCAGACAAGGACAAACTCACAAAACATAGCATACTCCAATCCAGGTACACACTGAAACAGGAACACAAGTACATTGACACTCACATGGACACATACAAACACAGATACAGACATGTATAAGCACACATACTCATACACACGCTAGTAGTGTGTATGTGTTTGTGAGTGAAAAGATGTGTATGGTTATTTATTGTGATTTTTTTCTTTCTTTCTTTCTTTGTTTCTTTGGTTGACTTTTGATTTTTATTAGAACAATTATTTTATCTTTTATTCTTATTGGATAATTTGTCCTCTTAATGCATGAGTTACTAATTAGCATCCCATTTTTTACACATTAACATCTTTTAACCCCTACGATCTGGATGACATGACCATCACATCATGAAAGAATTTGGCTTGAGAGGCAGGTGACATGAACATGCCATTGTGAGCACTTCGGCTGAAGACTGGGGTGATGGGATAAAATTTGCCTCAAGTGCTTAATCCTCTTTGAGGATGATTTGACTCATTTGCCATTTAGGAAGGAGCTTTTGCATTATTTCCACCAGTAGATATGGAATATATTGTCCATGTGCCAGGACTGGAAGAGCGCTGGCTCCAGTCAAGATATCATTTCCATTCTCAGGATCCTGGCCTACCTAGAGAGATGATATAGAGTCTGTGAAAGAGAAACAGCCTGTTACCATCTGGATAAAGCAGATCAAATGATAAATAATGGCAAAAAAATATATAAATGCTTATGTAGAAAAAGAGAAAATAGCATTGCAAAGGGGAGGCATGGAATCCTGTCACCACCCACAAGTGTTTGCCTGCGCCTGACTTACAGGCCTCCCACCCATCAGAGTGGCCGCTCACATAAGCCTAAGGCCTATATTTTGGGCCATGTGGTGGCAGAAGCATCTGGATCTATTGGGTTAACCTTGTTTTGAGGCATGTGCATTCATGTTATTCCTTTTGAAGATAATATTTTGTACAAGTGTTCTACCCTCTCCTGACATCCCTTTGGACACCAGTTGAGTAGGCAACATACAGAGTGTTCTTACCTCTGTGGAAATAGAGGGAATTTCACTTTAATATTTAGTTTATAGTCCCAAGTATAGAAGAAAATATGAATGAGAATGTGTGACATCACAATGCCGGAGAAATTATTGACACATTTCATTTAAACTTTCATAGAATCACAAGGATGATGGAGGTTTAATTGAAACACTTAAGGTACATCTTTTGCATTATGAAGTTACCCATACTCACATGTACTTGTTTTCTACATAACATATTTACTAAGAAAAATATGAACAAAGAAATTTTATCTAACTTTTTCTTGGTGTAATCTTGTGTTTGTTGTATTTGATTAAACTAATAGTTAGAGGAGAAGGGAAAACAGTTAATATTTTAACCCAATGCTGCCGGGTGGTTTCCCAATGCGAAAGCCCTCTCTCCCGGGCTGCATTCATAGTGGTCCGGGCCTCGCTGCCAGGAGATCGCGTCTGCGCCATAGTGTGCTTGGTATGATCATACATGTCCCCAGAAAACTGGACCAGCGCTCCATGGCATGTACGTACATGCCACCCGGCGGCAAAAGGTTAACATATAAATCCTAAAGATGAGCTACTTACATTTTTTTAAGCTAACTATATTTATTCACTGTAGACCTTTCTTAAATTTGACTTTGGTATATTATGATTTTCACCCATTATTTACATTATCATTGTGCTTTATAAGCTAGAAGTTATGATGCTAGTAGTGTATCATACATTTGCTTTTAGCCAAAGTGCAATAATGAATGTTCTCTTTCTAACTGAATGAAGACATTACAAAATCTTTTTTATTTGTTTTCATTATAAATCACTTTCATTGATGCATTCTCTCAAATAAAAAAAATTTCCTCATGGTTTTGTGGATAAATGCTCACTGGAGAATTTCCTCTTCATTGTACCTTAATCTGACTCACCATATGTTTCCTTCTAAATGTGATGTGTCATTGCAGACGATGACATTCTACGAAGGGGGTGAAGCAAGTAATGGCGAAGCTTCAACCATGCTAGATGCCTCAGCCTCCTCAGCCGTGGAGACACCAGCTGCCAGCGATGCCTCTACTGCTGATGCAACCCCTAATCCTACTGAATAGATGTAAAAGTGGCCTTACAGTAACACCAAATCACCAGCTCTCAGAAAAATTAGTATTAGGAAATTTTTGGATGTGGACAATAGCAATAGGGGACTTTCTCACTGGCATGGAATGACTTTTACTGCTCCAATCATTGCATAATGTTGAAAAATCATGAACAGCCTTAGATCCTTGGGTGTTGGGTAATACTGAAGTAGCATAAGGTAAAATTGGGTACAGGAGTTACCATGAACAAAGATGAATAAAAGCATAGAGGATTGTGATCCAGTTACTATATATCTCAAATAGGAGTGTAGTGGATGATATTATTATGAGTGTATGTGCCTTTAATTAGATTTCCTTGATTACCTTTTACCTACAGACATCAACTTACATTTACACTCACTCACAAACTTAAACACAGACTCACAATCATCCTCACTTTGTCTATTTTCTCATCTGCTTTCACTTTCTCATACATATTTACTCACACACACATACACACATTTCAATTCTTTACATGTGTATGTGTGCAGAATGAGTAAGAGAAGAAAATGTGTCAGTGTTACTGCATGTGCAACAAGAGTGATAAATGTGATAGCAGTTGAAGAAGTTGGCTTCTTGAAATCAACTTCCTTGCGATCAGTGTGCATACATGTTTTATTTTGTATACCAATAGATATATTTTATGCATGGGATCACAATATGGTTTGTTACAAATTTCAGTGATTTGGCTGTTGGTGACTTGCAAATATTATCTCCCTCCATGTGTCCAGTAAAGGTTTTTTTTTATCAGTTTAACTACATTATAGTCAAGCTAGATGCATCTCCTATGACATTTTTTTTTCTGTATAGTTGACTGTCATTATATAAGGAAGACTAAGTTTGGGAAATGGAACTGGAATCTTTTTTTTTCTCTCTCTATCACTATACAGTTTATAGTTGATTCCTCTGCTGTCATCTATTCTTGTAGTGTTCTTTGCCTAACCCAATACAGTTGCATGGGAAGCTTTGGTAAATTTTTACTTGCTAGGAGATCAAAGTATTTCTTAATTTGTACTTCCTTACATTAGTCCTTAAAAAAAAAATCTTTGTCAGCTTAAATTGTTTGTCATTGTTTCTTTTTTATTACTGTTTTTAAATGTGATTAAATGTGAGATTTTATTTCAGTGACTATTTTAGGAGATAGAAATGCATAGCTCCTTGAATTTTAAGAGATGTATTGAAAGAAAGAATAATAGATAATCAAAAGAGCTTTTACTGTCTTTGTAATCATATGCATTGTTGCTTCTGCATGCATGAGATGCTAGCATATTTTGTTCTTTATCGTGTACTAGGATCAGAGGTCTGAAGCTAATTGCAGGGTTCTTGTAAAACCATATTATTCACATTCATCTTTGTTTCCTGAACAAGATATGTCTGCACTTGTATATTAATTTTTGATTATTCATATAAAACACTTTAATTTAACCATTTTGCTTTGGAGATACCTTGATGTTTTGCATTGTTTTGTACTATTAAGAAATGTGTTGATATTGGACAGAGCTATAGATAGTGGTACAACAGGTCACCATGTAACTAAGAAAAGAGATGTCTGCCTTTAAAAGGGGTAAGAAATCTGATGAAGTAGATTTACACAAGTTACCCCTTTTTTTTTAAAGATCTGACATCCCTTTTTCTTTTCTTTTTTTCGTACATTATATCATGCATCCTATTTGTTATTCATATGAATCATGTTTATTGTTTAAGAGATATTTAACCAAGACAGTTTGCGAAAGATTCTTCATTCCTCTTTTTTTTTTTCTTTCTCTTTCACTCTCAGTTTTCTTTCAAATTTCCAAGGTGTATTTTTATTTTCGTCTTCTGTGTCTTTGTGCGTCACTACCTTACAGTCTTTACAATCATTTAGAAATATATTGAAACATTATTCATGGAATTGTAGCATTGAATACTCACCCTGAAATCTCTGGTGTGATTTAAGGAATCTGTGTTGTCCAAATTTCTGTCATGGAAAATATATTGGGAAATTGTCTGGGAAACAATCAGCTGGCTTTTTTTCCATCATGAAAACCATTTTCTGATTTTTAAACATAATATCATTTTGTTTTTTGTAGCAATTATGAATATCCTGAATACCATAGGAATATCAGAGGTTACTCAAAATTTGGAAAACATGGTTTTTATCAATATAGTTCACTTTTTTAAAGTTACGCTGAGGGATTTTGGTTTTCACCTCTCACCTTTTTACGGATAATGCTATTACTTGATGTTGATATGGAAGACATATATTAGTTTGCCCATCATTAAGTTCAACATTGCTAATCATTCTCATTAACTCTTTATTGGACAGGCTTGTGATACAGATTAGTCACATGCATTTATGGACTTTCAGTCTTATGATTAATGTTTGCTGATTAGACCTGATTTCCCCCCAAAAAAAATTAAGAAGCCTAGGAATCATGAGCAATGTTACTTTTGAATATTATCAGGCAGCTTAGACATGTCTTTATTTTCAGGTATGAAACTATAGTTGATTTAAAGCTTGGATTTTTTTCTCTAGATCTGTACAAACAAAACAGTCTGAATGAGTTATAGTGTGTATATCTAGTATGAATTTCTTTCTTGCATATTGATTAGGACATTATTTGCACATTCATTTATATATACATATAAATAAATATATAAATATTACTTCAGTTCATTGTTCACTAGTAGGGTTAGTGTACACTTTTTTTTAATTATTTTTAGAAAAGTATGGTTTAAAAGACATGTTGATCACAATGAGGAAAATGAGCATTGATCATGTTCTGGTAAGATTTGTTATATCACCATGATCGTTCTTTTTTATTCTCTATCTGCTACATGCCAGTAGTGAATAACAACAAAAGCTTACGTGTTGTACTGCTCTTGCACTAACTTGGCATGGTATCCTTTTGGGGGGGAGGGGAGTGGGGGGGACTGCCATATTTGTAAACTGTTTGGGTGTAAATTGAATTTAAGTAGCAGATTACAAACACAAAGCATGGTAAGAATGAGAAACTACATGAACATCTTGTATGAACTAGCCAGTTGCTTATAGAGCATGGCTACTGCACCAAGTTAGTGAGAGTAGTATAGTATTGCCTTAAGAGCACATAGACTGCCTTTACTTTAAACTCGGGTAATATTCCTTCATGCTAAACACATGGATAACTTTCTGAGTTGATAATAAAGTAGTATAAATAATTTTTATACCATGTGTCAAGGTCTTTGTGCTAGAAAGCCTAGTAACATATATTATCTTCCTCAACTCATACCCACTCATTTCCCTGACTCCTGATGTTCAGTACATCAAAATGTAAAAGATTAAATGTTGCAAACCACATGCTTTCTGTCATTTCCTCACCATCTGCTACACTCAGACATTTGAACATCCAAAAATATACGCATTCAAGCATAAACTTGCCCTTGTGTGTACACTCACCCGAGCATTCACTTACACTCACACTTATACACTGGTAAATTCTCTTCCCATTTTTTAATTTCTTTTTGTGGGTATTATTACAGAGGAAGTTCTCTTTTTCCTGGAGGCTTTCAGAATAGATCACTTGTGTATAGGAGGCTTCAACATAGAAACACATTGCTTTATTTCACAATTAATGAATATTACCATCATCAAAGAATAAAAAAGAAATAGTAATTATTTGCTCATATTGGAAACAAACTGAGGTAAGGCTGGCATAATAGTTTGTAGAATCATAACATGTGCCCTCCAGAGACTGTGCCTTGTATGAAGCGAGAGAAAAGTGATATTGTATATTTCATGGTTTAATGTATGGTTTTATAATACAAGTCAGGACTTTTCCTTTTTCTTTTTATTCTTTGTTTGCTTTTTTATATTCATTCATATAACTGACATTCCACTGCACCTGTTGCACAGGGAAAGGTTGCCCCTTTTGATCAGTTTTTGTACTCTTGGCACTCTCCAAATGGCAGTATACTCTCCAGCTCTTTTGGAATTACCTGTTACAGTTAATGATGAACTGCCTTCACAGGCCAACACATTAATCTGTAGTAGAAGCTGCTACTATAGTGTTTCCTGCCAATTGCAGAGCAACTCATCATAAATGCTATTGATCATTTACTGTTATCTGCTAAAGCAGGACATGCATTATAGTTATTACTTTCGCTGTTGGTCAGTTACTGTTGCAGTTCAATATTTAAGACACTGTTATAACTACAAATTATTTATTTTTAAGTGCTTGAACAATTAACAGTAAATGTAAGCATGAGGAGCACCCTTCATGCTATAGATCCTGTGCTGGAGCAATACAAAACAGCATTTATGCAATTGATCACATGCTGTTAACTGCCAGTGCAGAGTAGCCCTTAAAGACATATATTGTGTCCATTGTCCATTGTCAATGTGGAGCAAACACTAAAGACACTTCATATGCTGTCGATTACATGCTACTGCAGAATAATACTAAACACATGATGTATGTTACTGATCATTTACTGATAATTGCTAAAGCAGAGCAAAACTAGAGGCACCAAATCCTAGAAGTTCAGGTGCAGGAAGTTTGGCTCAGAACTGTCAGAAGTTTCAGGTCCTGACTTAGTAATAACATGCTTTCCTAATGTTGCATTTTGAGAAGCATAATTGCTTTAAAATATGGTTGTTTTAAATGTATTATTTTATTTGTGGATATTCATACAGCTGATATATTGTATATGCTATCATCATATATATGATTGGAAAGTTGTGTCTTCCATGATGGTATATAAATTCAAACTTCCTAATTCCTTTGATAATATATGCTTACCTTTTTATTCTTGTTTTACTTAAGCCTAAATAAACAGCATGCATTCTTTGGAACAAAATCAGAAAATTGAATTAAAAACTTTTTTTTTTTTTTTATGTCTGGTGATGCACTAGACACGTCCAGCGGGAAGTTCTGCAACATGTAGCGGACTCCCGCTGTCAGCAGCTGGATGTTACCAGTCTATGACACTGAGAGATTTCTAATACTCATCCCTGAGGGGTTAATCCTCACAACTCTCACACATGCTTCACGTCTTGAGTATGGTTTCTAATATTTTTTGATGGGTTCATTTTTTTCATTTTCAGCAGGACTAAATGATTATTGCAAAAGTTCATGCTCATGAGTAATGTGTGTGTGTCCATGTGTCTGTGTCTGTGTATCTGTGTGTTACTATCTGACAAATGCAGTATTTATTTACACATTTCATTTGCCTTACCAATGGTAATGGATCAGACTTTTTAACCATATAATTTTTTTTTTTTTTAACAAAGTTCTTAAGAATTGTCAGTATTATGCAACTATTCTCTCTTGCTTTCATTTACTTAATCCATTTCTGTTGGGTCACATGTTTAGCTGTCATAATAAATCGCTTGATTTGCCGGGTACAGCTATATGCGTGGCGATGCAGTAAAGTGCATCAAGCAGGAAGTTCTGTTACATGTAGCAGACTCCTGTGCCCAGCAGCTGGACAGTTGCCACAAATTACTGGAGTCTATGATGCTGAGAAGTTTATAATACCCTCACTGATGAATTATTTCAAATCTCTAAATGTCAAAATCTTCATCCTTTCATTGTAGTGTATCATCAGTTACAAGGAAGGTATGACAACTGGTTTGCATGTAATTACGAAAAGTAGATAAATATATAAATCCTGACAGGGACTCTCCTGCACAGGAAGATAAATTTGATTAAACAGCCATGTGCTCCCTAAAAGGGGGCACTAGCCACATCCCACTGTTTCCATCTATGAGGGTCTACTAGGCAAGACCTCAGCTCATCTCAAGCACTTCACATCTCTGATCAATCTCCCCAAGCTAAAACTTTTTAGGTCATTCCACAGGCCTGCTCCACCAAGGGTTGTCTTAAGAAGAGATAACTTAATTCACAGGATTATCCTCAGGGAAGCAAGGTAGATGCCAATACAGTCTGAGTTGGTGGTCCCTCATTGTGCAAGTAACAGGTCCTGTGCTGGTCTCTAAGGCAAGGCCCAAGGCTTCACTTCCATAGAGTAATGCTGGCAGTATCAGAGCTCAGATGACATGTATGTAACTTTACCTGGTATGCTGAGCAGTGTAATGCCTAGGTAATTGTTGCAGTCCCATCGATGCCCTTTTTCCTTCCAGAGAGGGTTGACCCATTGCTTTACCACCCCTTAGGTTGGAGATCACCACCCTAACTTCAGTTAGGATTTGAGGCTCATCTCTGATGGGTGGGTTTGCCACTGGGATTATGACACTATTCACATCCATAACTGTTGATGGAGTAATCTGATACAACTCTACAAACCACTCAGCCTAACTTTTTCATATTATGCCCAACACAATTTGAGATGATTGGCCATCTACTGAGTGGATTGCAGACACCTATGAGGGGGTTCGGAGTTCAGCTTTCTTAGTCAGGGCTTGATAGGCAGGAAGAAGGTCATTTACAATGAAATGCCCTTCAACCTCCACAGCAAGATTCCTGGTGTATTGTTCCTTGTCCCTCCCCAACAACTTTTGAGTCCTATGCATCAGGGTACAGTGCAAGCTCTGATCCCCAATTAGATGGCTTTCAGTGTAACCTGAAATTAAGTCTTCCTCTAGAGTGGGATACCTTCAAGTGTGAAATGCACTTGGAGGTATCCCACAGCACTACAGGGTCAATCAGGTTGCTGAGTGCTGCAAAACGACTAGAGATGGCCTTGGCAAACCTCTGGGCACAGTCCCCCTACAACCTGTCCACATGAAATGCCTCAGGATGAACATTGGACTGACGGAGTTTTCATATGGAATTGAAGGGCATTCTTTGCACTCTGGTATACCCTGTAGTTCTGGAGGATCCTACTGTGAGTGCTAACAAGGATGTGTTCAATCTCCATAGCCACATTACCCATATTGGTAGGAGCATACACGGTAGTAAGACACTTGAATGCAAATGCAAGTTTCATTCTCAATCCCATCATACCCTCATGAACTGGAGTAACCCCTACTACAGAAAGGTGAAGGTTTCTACAGATGCCTTTAACTACCCTCCGGAGATGTTGACCATTGCTACAACCCAACCATTGATTTGTGTTGCCACCAACACTATTATACCATTAACAAAACTCACCTCCAAAATGGAAGTTTGAAAAAGGTGATCTGTGAAGCACAATTTCATTATGTTATTAGCAGCATGACTAAATTTTAAGTAGTTAAAGAGTATATTGTTGTAAACCATTAAACACATTATTACTCCATATCCAATATATAAAATGAAGCAACTCTATATAACAGCTTATTTTTATAACAATTTTATATTTTTTCCTGGGCTAACAAGCTATCCATTGACAGGTGGTGGTTTATGGTATTGCTATGGCACTCAGTCTTATTTGGCAGCATGTTAACCCATTGCCGCCAGGGATGGCATGTACGTACATGCCATGCCCACTTTGAGTCAACTTGTTCGATTGTTTTTACCCATAGATGGCTACACTTGTACTAAGTATCCAAAGAGCCAATTACAGTACTGCCTGTCTCACCTGTTCACCCTTTTCATCGATTTACGAAAATATTTAACGTTATCCTAATTTGCTGTTAAAAATAACACCATCTATATTTGTAGTACTAGTAAAAATAGGTTTTTCCCGCCAATTCAAGGAAAGGTGAAATCAGGACTAGCAGAGACATCTATGGACAGAGATATTTCACAAAAATATAAAAAATGAGTACTGCATTTCCCCCATTTTTTGTTCATTTTCCCCGGCAGCAATGGGTTAATTTATCAAGGGTACTTCCTTAGATATTCAGGTATACAAAAACAGTCTTGACTTAAAATTCATTCATCCAGCCCAACCCTCCCCTCCATGTGGGACAGTCCCATTAAAGTGGGATATTTTTGGTGAATTTTAATAACCTTGATTTTTATTTAGATAAAAGCCCGAAATTTCCTGAGAAACAGCATTGCAGTGCAGGCCTCTACTTTGCTACTTTGAGTGGGATAGTTATCTTTTCTTATATGCAAAATAAGAGAAGGAACTTGCCAATAGACAGAGCATTGGGAGTGAGGGCATACCGACTCGATATAGAGCACCATACACATGATTAGGCAGTATCTACAGGCATAAGGAAGTGGGTTGCTTGTTGAGGTACTTTATGCTAGTACACAAGCAGTTCAAGTGACTTGCTTGAACCCAGATAACCAGAAAGTGACCAGTAGTGTTTTGGTGCTGCTAGACATGAATTTACATGAATGCATTGCTGTCAGTTACTTGAGCATTGAATGTTGTGGATCTTGCTAACTACCAAAGATTGCTGGTCTAGACTGGAGATTGTCCCTATTGCACACCATGATTATGGTACCACACATGGCCCAGTTGGCCTCCTTTCATTCCTGCCAGCCTTGCCTGAGCACTTTGTGATTAGTTGAAAGTATGAACACTGTATATATGTGAACATTTATGACTTTATGATATGCTTCAACCTATTACGATTTGCTACACAAGCATATATTTGCGAGCTTTCTCAAAGGTATCCACTTTCAGAAACTGCAGAATTTTTGAGAAATTGATTTTGCAAACCCATGCATAAGGTAAAAGGTAATCACCCGATATTCTACTCTAAAAATATTGATTTTTATATATCCTTTCCGCAATTGTTTAAAGTTATATGGCACATTAACATCTAAGGCAGTGGTTCTCAAACCTTTTTGGCATCATTATCCCTAATTGTGATTGATCATGATTCCCCTTACCTCTCTCCTCTACAGCTATGTGAAGTTAAAGGAGAGAAGAATATTAGAATACTTTGTAAGAAATTAATTCTAATAATTCAGTCCCATGAAAAAAAAATAAAAATAATTAAAACATTCCTTTTCTTAAAAATTGGAATCAATGCATTATTGTTGCATTATTATTGGGAAGCGTAGCATTGTTTGGCCCTTAATAGAATATCAGTGTGAGGTGCTATTGAGGATTTGACGTATGTGTTTTTCTGAAGGCTCTTATTTTTTATTTTAGTACAAGCCAAGAAGCCAGCTTCACAATGGTAAGTTGTGACAAAAGGGATGAGCACATTGACATCTTTCTGTGAGATAATGGGATTCCTTGGCCCTAAAAGTATTCACCTCATCATTCTGATAGAGGTAATCCACATATTCTCTCTTAATGCTGGAAATTCAAGATTTGCTGTTGTGTGCCTGTCCTTAAACACATCATCAATAGTAAATGCTTTATTGTCATTATCAATATCATTTATATATTTATGTATTTATCCATTTATTAATTTAAATCCAGCTTGTGCCTTCCTTCCTTCTGCCATTTACCTGCCAGTTAAGTGTGGCATTTGAATGATTAATCAATTAGTTTAAAGCCTTACTTCTTTAACTTGTATATAAATGAAGAAACTTTGGCTTATTCTTCACTTAAGCTAGTTCTGTCTCTACAATATAGACTTACCTGTAGCAGCCCTACTCACTGACTTCTAATGAGGCATTGCATAAGAGTATTTGTGTCTGTGTTGGTTCATCTCCTAAATGTAGATAAGAGATGACCAGCCTATAATCTGCTTCATATGGATATCTCTGTAGGTCACACCCTCCTGCAACAATGCTTGCAGCACCCATGTGGAAGGTAACTTGGTCATTATTATTTAGTTTTATTACAGAGCTGCTGCAACCCCATAATAACATACATTACACAATACAAGAATGTATTAGAGGGGGAGGTGTCAAGAGGATGAAAGCTAAATTGTTTGCCTTTACTGTGACAAGGATGTAAAATTCATCAGTAGCTAACTTGAGGCTTCATTGGGAATGATAACAGCAATA